GGATTGATGATCTGAACAAAACAGATAAGAAAATGGAAGCGACAGGAATGAACATTTCCTTGGAAAAAGCAATAGAATTTAATGATTGACTAGAAAAAGAGAAGTGATCAACGTTTACCAAGTCCTCTTCTGGAATAATTGGAAAAATGGTGACAGAACTCTGAGAGTTTGAAAAGCTGCAAATATTGAAAGGGATAAAGAAAAAGTATACAAATACAATTATTTGGGCTCTGAAGCCCTGTGATTCTTCTGCATGCCAGTATTAACTCAAATAAGTTGCTCTCATTTGTGCACAGGGACATGCTTACAAAATATTTTGCAAAAATCTTTTAAGAAAGAGTAAGTTACGATCTTTGAGATCACCTAAGTAGCCTATTAATATTTCAACATGGAAATAAAAGGAGAGAATTCAACCTCAATTGTGCTAAATATGCACTCAACTATCAAGTGAAGAGGGCTCACTGGAAAAATTATTTTCTCATACTCATTTGCAATGTTATAGTAGTTAATAAATAACAATTAAAAAATAATTATTAAACCATGTTCTGATAACATTGACCAGAACTTCTAAAATGCTTTTCTAGCCTGGCCAAGTGGCTCAGCTGCTTGAACGTTGATCTGGGCATCAGAAGGTGACAGGTTCAGTCCCCTGGTGGGGTATGTATGCAAGACAACTGATTGGTTTATTTTTGGAATATTAAAGTACTATATCTAAGGATTATTCCTTAATGTAAAGAATTTATATATATATGTGTGTGTGTGTGTGTGTAGATATATATATATATATATATCCTCACCAGAGGACATTGTTGCATTCATCTTCAAATAGAGTGGGAGAGAGAAAAGGAGGAAGAGAGAGAGAGAAACATTGATATGAGAGAGACACATCGTGTGGTTGCCACCTGCACAACCCCAACTGGGGCCGGGGTCAAACTGCAACCAAGGTGTGTGCCCTTAGTGGGAACCGAACCAGGGACTCTGGTCTGTGGGCCAGTACTCTAATCTCTGAGCCAAACTGGCTAGGGCAATGTAAAGAATTTTAAATGAATGCTATTCTATATTTATTGTGGGTCACATTATTATTCCTATAAACTGAATCAAACCTTAAATGACTTAACATCATTTTAAAAAGAATCTAATACTCAAAGAGAACCTTATACATTTACTAAAACTTGGAATAGAAGAGTTTTCCATGAACATAGAACTGTATTTTCTTAAATTTTACTAAGATATTAATATAATTGGAAGCAGTGACAGATGTAATTATTTTTTAGCTGGACTATCAAAAGTGTCTCCATGAACCTCAGCAAAGCCCTTGGACGGAGTGAGGATGGAATAATCCAGGTCTATTCTGCCACTTGGATGGGACAGAAGGAACCACGTGGTTTCAGAGAGCACAGGGGGACAGCTGCCTTCTGGCTTTCTGAATCTTGGAGGGCAGACGAGGGATCATGCAGGTCTCAGGAAAGTGGAGGCGGAGCTTTGTTGACACCCTTTACCCATTAAGCCAGAAAATAAAACACGAATTTAAAAGATATATGCACTGCTATGTTCCCTGTCACGTTATATACAATAGCCAAGACATGGGAGCAACCTAGGAGTCCTCTGATAGATGAATGGATAAAGATGTAGTGTATAAACACACACACACACACACACACACACACACACACAATGGAATTTTATGCAGCAATAAAAAAGAATGAAATCTTGCCATTCTCAACCACTGGCTATATCTAGAGGCTATTATGTAAGTGAAATAAGTCAGGCATAGAAAGGCAAACACAGTATGGTTTCACTTACTTGTGGAGTTTAAAAACCAACAAACGAGCAAAACAAAAACAGACTCACAGAAACAGAGACCAAAAGGGGGAGAGGAATAGAGTCAATAATATTGTGATACATTTACAGAGCAAATGATTATTAGAAATAGTGGGGTGATCACATTGTAGGGTAAAAGTGTCAAATCTCTATACTGTATACCAGAAAATAATACACCCAATACAAGATTGTATACTAACTATGCTTAAATAAAATGAATAAATAAATTTAAAACCTAATTTACTCTCTTCCACTTATTTTCTTTATTTCCCCCTTTTTATTTTGGTAGTATACCTACCAAAATCACAATTTTCATATAGTTCTTTATAAAACTTCATGACAAAACAATCCCCTAACCTACTCTATTCATTTTTATGATAAAGACCAAAGTTCTCAATTTGAATTAGTAAAGTAACCCAAACAAAATATATCGAAACATGTTGAAAACTGACTTCATACAATTATTTGTAGTCATGTTCTTTCTTTCTTTTTTTTTTTTATCCTCACCCGAGGATATTTTTCCATTTTTTGTACAGATAGAGTGGGAGGGAGAGAGAGGAAGAGAGAGAGAGTGAGAGAAACATCGACATGAAGGGACACATCGAGTGGCTGCCACCCGCACGACCAACCAGGGCCAGGGACAAACTGCAACCAAGGTACGTGCCCTTAGCGGGAACCGAATCCAGGTCTCTCCGGACCGCAGGCCAATGCTCTAACCGCTGAGCCAAACCGGCCAGGGCTCTTTCACATGTATATTTAAACCCATTAATAAGTTTGTCATTCTAAATTTCCACATCTTTCACAGCAATAAGGTTTAGCTTGCTTTTCAGCACGTGATATTTAATTGGGTAAAAACATGTCACTGAAAGAAACGGGGCTGGAAGGATAAAGAAACAATGCAGTGAAATTTAGTTTTAAATGTAAAAAATCAGCCCTGGTTGGTTTGGCTCAGCGGTTGGAGCACTGGCCTGTGGACCAGAAAGTACTGGGTTCGGTTCTGCTAGAGACACGTACCAAAAAAAAAAAAAAATCAGAACTAGAAAGTTACTTATCATTATTACAAAGTAGTGTTTACAAATTTAGACTCTGATTCATCTGACATTGAATTCTCTGTTCTCATTGTAGAGTCTAAGGACCTCAAGACATTTTGAATGTACCATATTGTCCACCTCCTGATGCAGCTTTGCATGACCTTGATGGCACCTCAAGTGCGTTTAGAACACTTCCGAAATGCCTACCGTTTAGAGAATTTAATCCCCGAGGCACTCAGTCAATTTTGAAGACTTTGTGTTAAAAATAAACACTTTAGGAATATAATGAACAAAACAAATTGATGAACAGAATGGACCCGGAGACGTGGATATGGAGTAGAGACTGACAAACCTCAGAAGAGGGGGTGGGGGGAGGGAAGAGACAGACCACAGAACTTACATGCATGTGTGTGTAATCAACAGACATAGACAACTATGCTGGGGGCGGGGGGATGGGGAGTAGGGTGTCAATGGGGGAAAAAGGAGAACCATCTGTAACAAAAATAAATTAATAATAAAAAAATAAACACTTTACAGAACAAAATGCATACTTTAGATTCCATCCATTAATCTGGACTCTCAGGCTGGGTTGGGGGAGGTAAGGAAAGATGGGGATGTGGGGGTGGTGGGGGGGGTTGAAATAGAGAGGACTGAGGGTGAGGCCTGTACAAACCTTAATCCTTTCACATGATAGTGTTTCAAGTACTGAGAGCGTTCAGGATGCTTGCTTTTGGTTGTCCTGTCTCCTTACACTTTCTGCTCCTATAAACATGTTTCCAGTTCTCTCTGTGACTCCTCAGCTACGGCATCCAAGGCTGAAGCAGGTTCCACAGACATGAGCCAGTCAGTGTGGGGCTGAGCTAGACGCTTACATCCCTCATTCTAGGTTAAATCATAGTCAACAATTTGCAGGGCTTTAAATCCATCTGGGAAGTTTTGTTTGTGTTCTGTTTGCTTACTTGCTTATTGTTTTGTAAAGAGAGATGCTCAAAGACGTTTGGATCCTGAACACCATCTGGTTCTGACACACAGCCAGGGTGGAGAACCCCTGGCCCAGACACTAAATCTCTCTGGAGCCTCAGGTTACAATTTTAATAGCCACATAATGCTTTCAATTTATGCCAAGTTTACATTTAACACTTTCACATGGAATCTTCTAAGCAAAATCTCCAATTTGTAAATGAGCACATGTGATTTTTTAAAACATAGGTAGGAGTAGGACCTTACATTTATCCTGTTAACTTTCAGCTTTTTAGTTTTTTTTCTTTTCTTTTCTTTTTTTAACTGTTCAGATATTTCTAGTTTCTGATTACACTTTCCAGTATTTTCACTATTTTTTCCCAGTTCTTCAGTTTTGTGGGCATATTTTCTGTATTATTGTTTACATTTCAATAACATGTTGACAGGGTAGAGACCAGAAAAAAGATCTGCAGAAGTCCAAAAGAAAATTTCCTTCAAAGTGACATAACCTTTGGGGATGGTTTTTCAGCTGATTCCTAATCTGTTCTGGAACTAAGACCAGGGACTTTGCCCATGCTGCTCAGTTTAAGAGCACTTATGACTGCCTTTGACACACTACTACCATTATAATGATTTACCATCAGACACCGTGGCTGACGATTTATAGAATTATTTTATAAAATAAATTGGGCATAGAGTTAAATATCACATGAAAATTTTATATGATATATAATCAATGGCCTACTTTAAAGCATACTTTAAAAGAGATTAGGAAGCCTAGCTGGTGTAGCTCAGTGGTTGAGTGTCGATCTGTGCACCAACAGGTCACCTGTTCGATTCCTGGTCAGGGCACATGTCCAGGTTGTGGGCCAGATCCCCAGTGGGGGGCATGCAGGAGGCAGCTAATCGATGTTCTCTCTCATTGATGTTTCTATCTCTCTCTCCCTCTTCCTCCCTCTCTCTCTAAAATCAATAAAGAAAATAAAAATAAAAATATATAAAATAAGAAAGTTATTACTTTTATAAGATTAACTGTCTTAAACACTTTGAATCTCTGTTTCAACACACTTATTATTAAATAACAAAACAGGTGTAATTTTTTTAAGAAGCACAGTTATATACATTTCACTTTTATTGTTAGCATGATATTTTTTTCTGGCAGCAATTAAAACAAAATAAAATTCTTACTTAAAGATCTGATTATCTTGGTAGGCTGGGGTGTCAAGGAGTCATTGTGTACAGGATCAAGCTGGGTTTTATCATCCTTCACTGGAAAATAAATAGCCAATTAAAATACGAGACACTGCCACAAGCTCATAATCATACACAAAAGCAAAACATAGCAATTGTATTAAGAAAAGTAACCTTCTAGAAATGTTATTCACCTTGCTATGATAAATTAGTGTACATATAGTGGTTCTTTTAATAAATTATATATATATATATACACACACACACACACACACACACACACACACACACACACATACAGTGATATCTCGGTTCTCGAACGCCTCGGTTTTCGACCAAATCGGTATTCGACCAGGAGATTCGAGAAACTTTTGTCTCGGAATCCGAACAAATATTTGGAACTCGAACTTCCGAGATGAGCCGAGTTGAGCCGAATGGCGTTCATTCGGCCCAGCGCGCCTTGCTCGCGTCATCAGTGTGAGTGCAGAGAGAGTCACGCTTTGTGGAGTCACGCTTTCCTATTGGGTTTCATTGCTTCGGTTCTCGAACAATTCGGTTCTCGACCGTCCTCCTGGAACGAATTATGTTCGAGAACCGAGGTATCACTGTATATATATATATACACACAAATATAAAATAAGATAATATTTTCATTAGTAACTTTGTGGTTCTTAGTAAAAAAAAAAAAAAGTATAACAGTTGTTTTTTATGTTGCTCCTTTAATAAATTTTATGGTCACATAAAACTGACTGATTTTAGATGGAAGGTTCCAAAGAACTATTTGTCCTCATATTGCTGTAAATTTAAGGATGTTAGCAGTCCTACTTTTGTGCCTTAATGATAATACAGTATTCTCAGGAAAGAAAAGTGATGTAACATTAGAAATACAATGTTGAATCTATGGAAACAATTTTCCCTATAGTTAGATTTCTTAAATATCTGTACCTTAAAACATTTCTTTAACATAGTGACTAATTTCTCTCTATATAATAAATACAAATGTATCTCCATTTGTATGGCTAACACAAAAGCTAGGTAAACTTGAATATCCTGTAAGATGCCTTATTTAAAAACAAAGTCTATAAATGAAGTAAAACAAAATGAGAAATAAACTTACATGCATCCTGATCACAGGTGGCCTTGCATTCTCCCAGTGATTCGAAGTTGTTTAGATTGCCGAAGCACCCACCATACACAAAAGTTTCACACTGCTTTGACTGACTGTTATAAAAATACCTGGTAAAATAACCTCGACAAATTCCAACATCTTCTTCCAAAAAGCAGAAACTTGGCTTTTCTAGAAATTATAAAAATATCAGAAAACAAAGTTTTTTTAAATAAATAATTTAGTTATTTAAATTATTTGTATAAATAACTAGTTGTGTTGAAGTTATTTAAGGAGTAAACATGAAACATTAAAGATAAGAGGTAAAAATCTTACTTTACAACGGTACAATACTAAAATTATCTATTGTATTTCCTGTGACATTTAGAATAAGGAAGATTCAACTACTATCACACATTGTTGCTATTGGAATTACAAGTTGTAAATTTCTCACAGTAAATTAGTAGGGCTTTAACTATCCACTATCTCATGATTTGAGACAATAAAAAATATTGGGTTATTTTACCCTTGGTTTGGAAGTATAAAATATTATGGCCCAAATTTTGTTTAATTATTTTTATTAAGTTTATGTGTATCAACACTTAGGAAAGACCTATAAATATTTCTCATGTTTTAGTTGTGAGGTCTCATTAGGGGAAAAGTGTAATGTGTTGCTTCAATAAGAAATTTCAAGAAATAAAATTGGAGAAGCATTGAGGGGTGTGGAAACTTTCCATGGCTATTCTTTGAAGTTCCTGAATTCTTACACCGGAATTAGTATCTGTGTTAAATTTGACATCCTCCACCACTGTGTTTCCTATTTTTCCTCTTCCAGTCATTGGAATGACTCCAACAGTGCAAAGGCAGAAAGGAAATACATGCTCGGGCATTGATTCTTTGTTACTGCTCCAAACCAGGCTAAACACAGTTGTCACAGAAGTACTGGGATTCACATGACAACCTCGTCTGCATGCATATTCTATAAATGAGAGAATTGAATTTACTTTTAAAATTATTACAATCTCAAGAGATAGTGAGCTTGGAATTTTCAGGTCAAAGCTTCAATTTCCCCATTCCCCCTGCAGCTAGAGCACCGGAGTGGCAAAACTGAACCGCAGTATCCTTTTACATCTTAAAGGAGCTGGCTCTTCTATCTCAGGAAGCAATGCTCATGAGTGTCTTACTATAAAAAGAGTGTGTATTTAATAATGCTAATGATTTCTGCAACAGTTTAAATCTGCAGAAAAACCAGTCTCCTATAAAAAAGTTGTTAACTAAAACATCCTATTTTAATATAGTATAAAATATTTATTTTCCATAACTTTTCAAAATACTAATTTTAAAGTTATTTTGTTGATTATTTATTGCCTCTTATTTCTCAAAATGAATATTATTATTATTCCCATAGTAACAATTTGTAGCTAAGTTTAATATATGGGACAAGAAAAAAACACAATTCTTTAATTGTATAATATTTTTTATAAGACAACGAAGATTGCATTGAATTAGTATTATTTTTATTTGCTTTGGTCTTAGTATGTACTTCTTATGAAATGTTAAAAATCATCTTAAAGGATATAAGAATTCTGTGTTCAACAAAAGGGAATAGTTAAAATATTGCAAATAAACAACAGAAAATAGTAACAAATTGTGCTCAAAAGAATAATTAAGAAATTCTACATCTAGAAGTTGCTATTTATATGAGACCTCATTCTAGGACAAATATCATTTTAGGACATTGTCAGAATTTCACACCTAAAATATTTCTTCTTAGGCCCACAGTTTGAAATACTTATGGTTACACATCAAGAAATTTATGTCCCATACTTCTAAGATAAATAAAGTAACATTTGTATTGAATCTGCATGCATAATCCTAACTAAATTGATGCTCAGTTAAAATTTACTAACATAGAATGCTTAATTTAAGTTATATACCAACTTCCTCAAGCCACATAATTTTCACTCAAATTTTGTTTCACTGCATATTTGGCAATTGTGTTAACTAAACTTTCTTTAAAAAGTATTCATGTCCACATTCCTCTGATATGTCAAGTAACATTCATATTTAATCTGTATACTAATTGACAAAAGCAATTATTTATTGTTAAATATCTCCATTTTTGCTTATGATTGTTGAGAACTGAAAGACATATATCCATTCAGGATAATATTGAATGAAGGTTGGTAAAGCACAGAATGTTGAGATTATCAAGGGATTAGATAGCTGAGATCTAAAGTAAAACTAGCAACATCTAAGTCTCTGGGAGATGTTAAAATACCCTGTGTGTGACCCTGAGTTGTGACTAGTTTGATACTAAATATCAGGCTGCATTAGAATGAGGGTAAATATGGTGTTGAAGCCTTCCCTACCAAATACTATGCCTGATACTTCTCATTTTTTATTATATCCACAAAAACAAAACACCATTTCAAAGATCATGTGGATTTATGATGAATCTCATGTCAGAGAAACTTAGCAATTGAATTTGTAAATGTCTTAAGTAAACTAGAGAACACACAAATGAATGTTTACCATTTTTCGATGCTGTCATTGAATAATCTGCAAGAAAAACAATATATGTGTATCAGTTATCAAATTTATAAAATAATGTTATGAATTTCAATTTAACAAACTAGGACGATGTGTTCATTATCATTAAAATTATTCTTATGAAGAATGTCAATAAGTAAATTTCTTTTTATTTTGTCTAAGTATTAAATTATTTTAGTTATTATAACCATGAAGCCATCTCATTTTATCATAATAATGTCTCAAAATCCATGTTAAAAGGTCTAACATATTTACAATAAGAGTTCATAGTGAACTATTCAAAATATCTATGATTAAAATAGTTATTTATAAAATAGTGTGAAATATGAAATTAACTCAAACAGCCTACTTTGCTTATAAAAACAGATAACTTCTACAGAGAATTGGGAATAGGGTGGAAAGAACCAGAGACTTACCTTCTTTTCTGATTCTTTCCCCTGCCTAATTGTCTCAACCCAATTACAGATTTCATTACCATTTCCATGTACAGAGGAAAAATGAAAGCAAAAGATATCTGAGACATATTTTGGGGTTTAAACTTACAGAATTAATGGAATTACTTCACTCAAGAACTAGAATGCTACTTATGCTTAACCCATTATATTTCAAGAATGGATTCTAAGTTTTAATTTAAATGATAGATAATAATATTCAAATTAATATAATATGTGAAGGTTTATTTTTTCATGTAAACATTAGGAAAGCTGACTGATATTTGCTTTGTTGTATAATAATTTGTTTTACAGAGTAAAGCTTTGATCAAGGCAGCTTATAAAAAGAGAGAGAGAGAGAGAGAAAGAGAGAGAGAGAGAGAGAAAGAGAGAGAGAGAGAGAGAGAGAGAGAAAGTTGGGTTATATGACCTTTTCATCCAGTGATCAATCAGGTTATTCTTCAGAGAGTAAAACATCTATGAAAGAGAAGGTAATGAAGGCCACTCTCCTTTTTGAGTTTTACGATGATTTATTTTACAGTCTTTTTAAAAAGACTATTTTTCTAATTGTATGTTTTTTGCATTGTAAATAACCAACCCCAAGTAGTGTTTTTAAATGTGATGGTTGTATTTGCTTACATTAAAATATTTCACATTAAAATAGTTTAATGTAAAACTGATATGTTACAGTTTTAGTTTATGAGGGCAATAAAGTAACATACACACACACACACACACACACACACACACTATATAAGACTAGAGTGCTAGTCATTTTCACTTGATTTTTCCTACTGAAAACAGCCACAGGATGAGAACACAGAAATCCTTAATTTCAATGTTCATGCAATATTAAAAGAGATAACTGTTTGTTTTTGGTTTCATTCCAAGTAGGATTAATTCAGCTGGTATACATGGAAACTAACTCATATAATGTAATTTAGCACACTTGAATTGTAAGTGTATTTATATTACCAATGATTATCTTTGAGAATTCTGATATTAACAACCATGGCATCCCATTTAATTGAATTTTATGCCAATTACAGTCTGAAAAAATAGAGAATGTTTACAGCAAACTATTCAAGTTATATTTTCCTAGTTTTATACAGAACATAACATTTAGTAATAATGCTAATATATTTTACTAATTTCTATTTTAGCAATTTCTTGAACTCCAGCTTATATGAATTCACATTTTAAATATATAATTATGAATATTTAAACATATTATTATACAACAAATTAATATGTAATTATCTGATAAATTTTAGTAATTGTAATTCCCCCATTCTTTCATCTTTTTCTCTTTTGTTGGGGAGGGTAAAGTCTGAATGCTAGCTTTTAGTGTTTTTTTCTTGTTGAAATCAGCCTATAAAATGATCTAAGCAGGTGAGAAATGGACTCTATGGGAAGAAGATCCTTGTTACTAAACAGGTCTTCACAATTCTAAACAAATAAAACATGAAATGACAAAGTTAAATATAAAGAGAATGGACAATGTATTTACATGCTCTTTACTTCCCCATGGAGAAAATTTCCATGTAAGTCCCCGCTAAGAGCCACAAATCATCATTAGCCCAACCAATAAAACAATAATGAATAGAAACAGCAGAGTTTCTAGGTGCTTTAAAGATGTTTCAGAAAGTGATGCCCCATGAATTTAAATGAAACATTTCAAACCTTGTTGTAGAGGCTGATTGGCTGAAAGCAAAGTGGGAATTTTATCTTTTTCATCTAAATCCTTGTACTACATTAGGCTATAGGAAAAAGGCCACTAGACCCAAAGACAAACATTTGAAACCATTTTGAAGCCATTTTGCAAACTATTATTTTTTTAACTTATTAACTTTTTTTGTTGCCATGCCTTTATTATTACATAGGTAAATATACCAAACAAAATTACAAGTATTTGGAAGCAATAAAACAACTTTCCATGAAAGAGGACAGTTGAGTATCTATAGCAAACTAAATGCATTTAGAGTTTCTATTCCCAGGCATGGTAACTCACAAGCTATAGTTCTCATCGGTCTTCCCGAATGAAGCAAAACTTTAGCTTCCAAGCTCTAATATATAAGATATAAATAGTATTTTTATTTTATGTTTCCTATATTCATACCATCTTCTCTTTACTTTGGAAAACCATTTGGAAGTAATTTGAATGTCTATAATGAAACACTTAATTCATATCATTCTGTCAACAGTTTATTCTTAAATAATGAATACTTCTATTAAACAAAACCAACCAAAAATTTCTCAAAATTATCATATTGCCCTAGTTTACCTGTAAACTAATTAGGTTCTCGGCATAGAGAGGATCACTTTTGAGAGAGGAACTGAGAGAAACATCTATTTATTGTTCCACTTATTTATGCATTCATTGGTTGATTCTTGGATGTGGTCTGACCAGAGATTGAACCCACAACCTTGGCATATTGGGACAATGCTCTAACCAACTGAGTTACCCGACCAAGGCTCAATTATGTTTATTGATTTCTAAGCTATGTGTACGTACTTTTTCCTTTTTGGCTTTAAAGCACTGGCTTGGACCTTCCATAGAAGGTGTGAAAAAAGTGGTAAGTGAATATCCTTGACCTATTTCTTATTGTATTCATGCTTTCTTTAAACCCTTTAGCATATTTATAATAGCTATTTTAAAGTTCTTGTGTACTTATTTCATCATTTTTGTCATTTCTGTGCCTGTTTGAATTGAGTAATTTTCCTCCTAGCTATGGATTACAGTTTGCTTCTTTGGAATGTTTAGTGTTTGGGGGAGATGGTGACTATTTCTTAATATCATGCCGTTGGCTGCTGGATTTCATTGTTTCCTTTAAAGAATGTTGATGTATCTTTGGGCAGATAGTTATGTTACTTGTGGATCAACTGAATCTTTTAAGGTTTTTTTTAAAGCTTTATTATGTCAAGTCTAAAGCAGCCTTTTAGGCCTAATTTAGTCTACCTCCTAAATTAATGTTAAATTTGTCAGTCGTGTGAGAGCTCTGGGAATTGTTTCACTTACAAATCCTTGATAATTATTTTCTCAAACTTGTAGAATTTTGCCACAGAAACACGGTTTGATTATTCAGTGACAAACTCAAAGGGCTTGCTATCCAGATTTTTGTAATTCTTCCCTACACAAGTCTATTCTCTCCCACGTTTTGTTCCCAAAAGCCCAGCACCTCAGCCTCCCAATCTCATTTTCATACCCTCCCCCAGGGAGAGCACCATGCTGTGCTTAGGTTTCTCAGCCTTAACTGTGGTTGAACCGAGCCAGCATGCAGAATGTGGGGAGCGAGGGGCTCACCTCACATGTTTTCTTTTTTTCAAAGATCAAAATCCTACACTGCCTTTTGTTCACTGTCTTCAAACAGTTGCTTCATATATTTTGTCCACTTTTCTACTGGACAAATATTTATATTGGGAGAGAGAATTCAATTCCAGTTACTCATGGCTCAAGATGACATTTTCTCTTTAGGTGAATTTTTAAACTTTATTTTTATTGTTGACACCATTACAGAATTGAGTAATTTTCCTCCTAGCTATGGATTACATCTCCCCCATCTCCCCATCTCCCCCTCCCCCTTTGCCCACCTTCACCCAGCCCCTGCCTCCACTTTTAAAAAAGTCTAGTCATATATTTCCATATGCCAGCCATATCCTTAACAGTAGCTTACTATATAAAATACTCAGTTATTCAAACAAAAATATCACATGGATTTTGGAAAGATAATGAGCAGATAGGGGTATGAACCATACTTATATGCTGGGCAATAATGATGTTTTCTAAACCATTGTAAGTGAGCAGGGAACTCAATGAACAACAAAATTATTATATTTGTTTAATATCAAAAGAAAAGAAAAACTTTTGCATAATGGTGAAATAAAATACTGTAAATTATAAAAAGAAACAAGTAGGTATTTCAGGAAAGAGATAAATTGATGAAAATGAGTGGGCTGCTAAATGGAAAAGAGATTATTACAAAGAATTAGGCAGCCAGGATGCTAGCCAAGGTGCTGAACCTGAGTGATAGTCAACTCAACACAAAAGGGTACTTGGCCCAGGAAGGAAGAGAATGGCTTAAGGAAATCTGAGATGAGTGAAAAGTGACTGAGCAATCACAAAAACCAAAGGGATCACAGAAGACCCCTGAACTGCCTGACCCTCGTTAGCAAAATTTCTAGCACATCTATGGAGAAGAAATAGCAAAATAAATATTCTGAGGTCAAATACACACACACACACACACACACACACACACACACACACACAATTCTTTTCTTTTCTTTCTTTTTTTTTTATCCTCAACCGAGGACACCTTTTTCATTTCATTCAGATAGAGTGGGAGAGAGGGAGAGGAAGAGAGAGAGAGAGAGAAAGACAGAGAGAGAGAGAGAAAGAGAGAGAAAGAGAAAGAGAGAGAGAGAGAGAGAGAGAGAGAGAGAGACATCGACGTGAAAGGTACACAGCGAGTGGCTGCCACCCGCACGACCCAACCAGGGCCGGGGACAAACTGCAACCGAGATACGTGCCCTTAGCAGGAACCGAACCCGGGTCTCTCTGGACCGCAGGCTGATGCTCTTACCGCTGAGCCAAACCGGCCAGGGCACATCAATTATTTTCTGTCTGTTCTGGAACATATATCAAAGCATTTCCTAGACTAATAGAGAAGTTCTCTCTTTGCACCTCACTGAGGTTTTCCCACAGGGTCAAGATCATTTTTAGAGAGTACATAGCTGCCTGTTTTGAAAAAGCAAGACACCTAAAGATACCATCTCTGTAATATTATACTTTATTCGATTAGCTCTTAGAACATGCTATGGGGAGATTTGGGGCTAGAAACGGGGGAAATCAAGACAACTCAGATTCTCCATCTTTCAAGGAGCTTACAATTCAGAAGAATGAAACCATTCCAAATTTTGACCAGTAATTATTTGAAACTTATCCTAATGAAAAGAGATAAAGTATTCAATAAAGTTTAATAAACATATACAATGTACTTTTAAACCTTATAACTTAGTAACAATATGAAGAGTTGGGTTCAGTGAAGTCTATATAGATTAGCATGAATGATATTTTTTTCTATATTATTCCAAGTTTCCAAATAAAATGATTTACTTTATACATGTATTTCTGCTCTGTAATGCAGCTTAGACATTTCTAATTAGTAGCTATTGGAAGCCTCCAAGGGGATTCTGAGATTCACGACCTTGACAGGGAACAGCTGTGAGACCGTTGTAGAGAGTCTCAGTCAACGTGACTAGCGATCTCTGCCCTGCAAGGCATAGCTGCTGCATTGCACTCCTCATTGCGGATATAAGACCTGTTCTGCCAACTTAAATGTTTTCTTCCATCTTTATTATGAAGAAGAGTGTAAGCCCATAAATGGGGCTTAATATATATTATGATGACTCATATAAAAAAACAGTAATGAACATGAATGCTGAAAATGTGAAAGATTTCTTAAAATGTTAAAATGGTTTACACTTATCTTTTCTCAAACCATCAAATCTATGATTAACTCTAATAGCCCTAAAGACTTATTATCTCCTGGGAGATAAGTGTCCCCAGAAACATACCTCTTGTACATATTTTTTTGCATTCTTCCAGACTTTCGAATTGATTCTCATTTCCTTCACATCCCCCATATACAAATTCTTCACACTGTTGAGTTTGAATATTGAAATAATATCTCTTCAGCATTGCTCTGCATGGACCCGAATCCGCTTTATACGCACAAAATGTACGTGCAGGTATCACTGGCTCAGCAACTACAAGGTAAAAATAAAAGCTATAACATATAATTCTTCATCAACACTGTAATGATGTTCTTTGTTTCCTTTCTATTTCCTTTTTAATAGTCCTAACTTTAAGAAAAAGTACAATAATAAAGGCATAACAAGTTATTCATAGCTACAAAAAAGTAGATAAAGTTTATAAACTCACCAAATGAGATACGTCTTATCAACTACTAAACTTGAATTGTTGATTATTAATGTAGATTATAAATGTAGAATAAGATTTAAGGTAAATGTAGAATAATTTTTCTAGACTCTTCTTGTTTACACCTGTGTCAATTGACTGACATGGAATTGAGGAGTAATTATAAAGTAATTGACGTGTTGACCTTACAAGTAAGTAAAGACCTCGCTTTTAATTCAGCCATTTTTTAAAACATTTTTTTATTTTTTATTTATGTATTTATTTTTTAATCCTCACCTGAGGACACTTTTTGCATTCATAGAGGGAGAGGGAGAGAAGGAGGAAGAGAGAGAGAGAACCATCGATGTGAGAGCGACACATCGACTGGCTGCTACCCATACAACCCCAACCGGGGCCAGGGACAAACTGCAACCGAGGTATGTGCCCTTAGCAGGAACTGAATCTGGGAACTGAATCAGGGTCTCTCCAGACCACTGGCTGACGCTCTAACCGCTGAGCCAAACCGGCCAGGGCTAATTCAGCCATTTTTAAGGGCAGTTGTTAATAGACAATTATTTGAGTTCCCCTTTATAATCCACAATGTCACTTTTTACATACAAAACAGCTCTTTAAATGCAACAATGTATTCATCATATTCATATGTATGTATATTCATGCTATATTAAAACGTTCCCTACTTATGAAAATTTAAGTGTTTGATCAATCTATTTCATGGTAAATTCTTTTTACTTACCACGATTGATTTTTTAAGCAACATTGAAAAAACATAATTCTTTCTATGTTTTAAATAAAATGAGGTAATTCTTTGGACTTTTGAGTTATAGTTTTTTCCTAAATATTAAGTCACTTAATTTTAGTCACAGAAGAATTTTCTATATCAGGGAGAAGGGATTTGTACATACAGAAAACTCAGCTAAAAATTTTTTTTCTTTATCCTCACCCGAGGACATTTTTTTCATTTTTTGTTCAGATAGAGCGGGAGGGAGAGAGAGGAAGAGAGAGAAAGAAACATCGACGTGAAAGGTACACATCGAGTGGCTTCTATCCTCACTACCCAACCAGGGCCGGGGACAAACTGCAACCGAGGTACGCAACCGAACCTGGGTCTCTTTGAACCGCAGGCCGACGCTCAAACTGGCCAGGGCTCAGCTGAAATTTTTAAATTTTATTTTTATCAAGTCTAATAATATTAACAGAGGACTAATTTTAAATAATTGCATTTTTTTATATAGAAACTACCTAAAGACAGACACTGAAAACTGTGATTGGTGCAAAATGACTTATACCAATATGTCCTATAGGGGGCAGCAGTGTTCTATTAAATTAAAACTGATAAGTATAAATCTCTCCGAAAAGTCTTTCAACGCACTATAAAATAATTTACTTTAAAAAAAGAAACAGGAATGCATGTCACTTTAATATTTTTACATAAAATATATTGAAAACTTTATATAAAAGAAGTTTGTGAATGTATAACCATCTAAAAGGAAAATCAAATTTAAATTTCCTGTAGCTTCAAAACTGAATTTTTGAAAGAGAAAATATGTATATCATAAAAGTTGAATTAGATATTTATATCAAATCACTTCTGCCCTTCATATTTTTGTCCTAATAATCTGTTGAATTAATGTCAAGTATTAGCCATATGTAAGTAATGTTAAACTCTTTATAACAAAAATAACTGAAATGGTTTTTTTTTACATTTAAGAATTTTTTTATTTTTAATCCTCACCGAGGGATATTTTTCTATTTATCATCAGATAGAGTGGGGGGGGGGGGAAGAGAGAGAGAGAGAAACATTAATGTGAGAGAGACACATCAACTAGTTGCCTCCTGCATGACCCCAAACAGGGCGGGGGACCGAACGCAACCAAGGTACATGCCCTTGACCCATTGTTCCACGGGTGAACGCTTTAACCACTGAGCAAAACCGGCCAGGGCTAACTAAAATGTTTTTTAGATTTTCTATATGACTCGTAAAGTGGTAAGTAGGCCTTGCTATCTTGGAATGGCTAAAGTATGGCTTTCTATACATAAATAGGTATCGTGCTGTTCGATTCATTCGACACAGCCAGTAATTTTATCTCAGCCACTAATGTAGCTTTTAATTTTTAAAAATCTGAGTATAATTTTAAAAATACCATATCACCCTTTTGGTTAATTTGATAACTGAATTGATTATTCTTTTCAATTAAAATAAATTGAACCAACAGAAATTATAGAACAGTAAACTTTCAGACCTAACATTTAATAAGGTAGATAACATATAACAAACACATTTATAGTAACACACAGATCTTCATCCACAGAAGACAGCACCAGACCTAAGTTGCTGTATATATTCACAATAACTTTTTCTTATAAATTAATAATTTATGGGGTTCATTCTAATTGATCATCCCTCTACTTTTTACTCTTAATATACTTAATAATCCTATCATCATGCCAAATATTTTATTTTACATTTTCTCTATTAAGGATATACACTCCCCAAGTTACACCTGCTATTTAGTAGTCATGCCACCAGGTGGGGGCAGTGCCCCACAAAATGAAAGAGTGCAGCCTAGTATTAGTTATAGTAATAATAACAGGTAAATGTTTACTGAGTAATTACTGTGCTTCAGACATTTCGTAATTGTATCATTTGATTGTCACAACAAACTTATGAGTTAGGCATTATTATCTCCATTTTACAATTTATACAATAGCATTGCAGAAACTAATTGCTCAATTCACACCTAAGAGATGCCTTCTGAATTGTCCCCATGTAGTTTCACAGCAGGTACCTCACACATTCTTAGTAACTGAGTGATATTGTCACAGATCTATGTGGCTGAGATTCATACACTGGCACTTAGGTAAAGCATATAGACTTAATTATATAATTTCCACTCAATCATTTTTATCCTAAAATTTATTTTACAGAAACCAAAAAAATCTTTCAATGATGAAAGTAGGTGATGATTGTATACCAATTTCTTTAGGAAAACACTAAGAACTAACTTTTTTTTTCCCTCACCCAAGGACACCTTTCCATTTTTTGTTGAGAGAGAGAGAGAGAGAGAGAGAGAGAGAGAGAGAGAGAGAGAGATCGACGTGAAAAGGACACATTGAGTGGTTGCCACCCACACAACCCCAACCAGGGCCGGGGACAAACAGCAACCGAGGTACATTCCCTTAGCGGGAACGGAACCCGGGTCTCTCTGGACTGCAGGCCGACGCTCTAACCTCTGAGCCAAACAGGCCAGGGTGTAACTTTTTTTTTTTAATCTTCATCAGAGGATACTTTTTTCCATTTTTATCTTCAGATAGAATGGGAGGGGGAGAGAGAGAGAAACATCGATGTGCAAGAGACATGCCAATTGGTTGCCTCCTGCTGACCCCGGCCAGGGCCGGGACCCAACTGCAACCGAGGTATGTGCCCTTGACCGGACTTGAACCTGCAACTCTTTGGTCCACCGGCCGAAGCTCTAACTGCTGAGCCAAACCAGCCAGGGCAAGAACTGACCTTTATTAACTACATCTTATTAATTATTAGCTAATTATTCATCTTTGCAGTCACATCTTAATGTACTTTTCTTACATGAATAATGGATTTTGTGCCGTGAGCTTGTGACCTACACTGAACACAGCCACCCTGCAGTGGAGGCGTGGACAGAGCACCACGCCATCCACTCCCAGGGATGGAAGTCCCTCTAGTGTTCATTTCTTCCTGTGGATGAACCTCTGAATCGTGTCAGACATTGTGCGGGCTCAGCAGATATGATCGTAGCCAGTATGTTAGTTGGCAGCAGCCCCCTCCTTCATGGGGGACTTAACAAAATAGTAAAAAAGTCCAGGGTGCTGTGCGAGTGTATAATAGATACTTGAGCTTGTCTGAAGGGGCTGGAGAAAACTTCCCTGAGACTTGACACACGTGTTGACGTTGAGAAAGATTGATCTAAGGCTGTGAAACTGGGAGACACGTCCAGGCAACGTCATAGGAATTGAATGGGATGCAGCCAGATAAATACAAATGCGGTTTACATCCAACTGTTTTTGTAATTGATTTCTTGTAGTTCATGTCTCACTGTCTGAGGCTTATAATCTTACTCTTCCCTCCCCCTGTCCTGGGATGTTGGGTGGAAGGCTCGTGATAACATCTGGGAACATGTGTCCTTGGCCGTTAGAATCCTCATTGTCCTGGAACTTGTTTGGGAAGCTAGAGCTTAAGGCAACTTGTGAAGAATGTACATGTCTCTTTGCTCCCTGACCAGAAGATTTCTCAGAAGGAAGAGCACAGACGTATACTCTTTGCCTTTTCTGCGTCAGAAAATGCGTCAGATGTGTTTTCGCAGTTGATATGACAACGGCACAAACATGGTTATTTACTTCACTTATTTAGAGATTGGGATGCTGGGAGTCGAGTTTACACAGCTCGTCCACTTTTGCAAAGCTACTGTGTGGAAGCACACGTGCAGCCCGGGTCTGCATTGAGAATTTTATTCTATTTCACCCTCCTGGCAGGTTAGACTGATTAAAAAATAGTCTAATAATGACTTGTGAGAGAAGCCACAAAATCTTGTATGTTTTTCAATAAAATGAAAGCGCACAATTTCAGTTAAATAGTGTAGTTCTTTTAAATGACCCTGGCACGATGTGCTAAATGGTGTCTCCACAATGGAATGGATTTCGATGTGGGCTCGTGCTGTTACAAGATCAGTTAAAAACACAACAGGCTAAACGGGAAAAGACTGCACAGCTGGTCTGCGAGGTGGTCTTCAAATCTAGCTTTCAAATAAAAGTTTATTCTTTTCCAGCTGGGTTTGGTCTGGGTTTATCCAGGGATTTTAAACGTTGGCCTAATCAGTGATGGGTTGATTCTGGTTCCTTGGCTGACTGTGGCGGCGGCAGCAATTTCAGGCACCTCCTGGTTGATTGGCATGCTTTCCTCGGTCTACCTGAGGGGCATCGGGCTCGGCGAACATTGGAAACACCTGGACCCATTCACCTCCAGCAACCCAGCACCAGGCTGCCTGTTTTTCCCTGTGGGGACTTACTTCACCCTCCACGTCCCTTCTCTACCCAATCTCCAGAATATTACGACGCTAACCATCCCTTCTGAGAAATGAACCAAATGAAGGATTGGAGCTCATCTCAAAATGACAAAAATCCCTATTTTTATAAGGTACATGATGTTTTTTTTACTTAATGTAAAAAAATTAAGTAAATATAATTAAGTAAATATAATGTGCCATCTTTAAGAATTTATATAACTATCTCTATATACTTGGTGGCTTATAACAATAAGCCCTTACCATTCATTTCTGTGTAGGATGGGAGTGACCCTGCCGATCCTGGCTGGGTTTGCTCATCACCTACTGGGTTGCTGGGCTCCTCTCTGGGGCCCGCACGCGTGGCTGGGCCTGCAGCTGTGGGTTCAGCTGGTGCAGATCAGATCTGCCCGAAGCACCTCTGGGCCACATCCCCATGCCCAGCTCTCAAATTCCCAAGCTTAGGCGAGTTCTCGTCCTCTTTGTGCCCACAGCACCCAGTGCGTGCCTCCACCACGGTACTAAATGCTGTGCACCGAATACGTGTCTACCTCCAGTCTCCGACTGAGACCGACTCGAGAACCCGAGGTCAGCATCCCTGCTTCCCAGGCACCCCGCACAGTTCTGGGCACCGTGTGTTCAATCTTTACCCAAGGAGAGCACACTGAGCAAAACCACGCGAAGCAGCTGTTAGCTGTGAAATAAGAATGTATGTATAGAAATCGTTTGTACCTCATAAACATGCATACAAACACTAGCTACCACTGTGTTCATAATCTCTCACTAGTACTGATGGAGAGGTTTCTATCAGTTTACTAATGTGCCACAAAAATATTACTTTAGGAAATAAATACATCTGTAATGTTAATCACTGTGCAGTCTCTTCCTTGTTCTGCTGTTTTATTGTGAGGTTTTGTTTTCCTTGGAGCTTTATGGGATTAGAACTGACTTCCACCTCCAAGATCCCCTGGTGTCCCATGACAGGACTTATCTGAGAAGTTCTTATTTGGGGAATAAAGGCAAAAAAAAAAAAAGGAGAGAGAGAGAGAGAGAGAGAGAGAGAGAGAGAGAGAGAATGGCTGAAACCTCGGATGTCTGGGTTCCCTTTCCTCCCCGCAGTTCCCCAGCCAAAGGGTGGCATCATGGGCCGCAGGGCTGTTTGTAGAGCGTGTTGCTCCTCCTCATTTCCCAGAGATAACTCAGTGTTTAATGGTATAGCCTGAAAAAAAGACACCCAAACCAAAAAACGGTCTTTCTGGCTAACGTGACTTCTTTTTGTGGACTCAGGTTTTGTTTTTGTTTGTTTGTTTTAACATCTCACACTCCATGTAACATATGTCCTAAGAAAAATGTCGATAAAAACAAATTTTCCTACACAACGGAAAAACCGATGACACATATTTGGACTACCACTGAGAGCTTTGACTAGCGTCACAAAGGAGAGCTCTAATGCCGTACCTGTCGCCTCTGCATCGTCTTCACCTTCCGCAGGGTCGGCCCTGAGAGGGACAGAGGCACAGCCAAGCAGCAGACACACAGAAGCCCAGAAGATCTGGTCTTTCTTCATGGTGTGTCACCTCTGAAACACAGAACCCACAAAAAGCCAATAAATAAGAAGTTAATGTGGAATCATCGGTAACTGGTAGGAATCATATGCCTCCAATGTGCAAATGTCAGTTTTTACCTCTAATGGGTGTTCTCATGCATCTCTGTCCACACATGTCATGACACACATATTCAGTGACTATATTTAAGAACAGTCAAGTACACAGCTCTTATTTCAACCTTGAAAATATGAATTAAAATGGCAATGATGAAGAGACATGGGTCACTGCTGGTCAACATAGCTAAGTATATTTTCATATGCATGTATGTTGGCCACAGTTTTCTCAGCTATTCTTCTTTCAAAGTCAGTAATAATTATATTTTAATTTTCTTGCATTTTTCTATTAATGCAACTTTCAAGTCCTGATCTGTCTTTTCCTTTGCTCTGGTCCTTCTTGTGAAAAAGAAACACATTTCTCAAGTTTTCATCTTTGTTTCCTTTAAAATATATTTCTGTTTTTCTAACCAATTTCCTAACCAGGCATTCTGTGGAACAGCAAACAGAGCTTCTGAAGAAAGAATATCTGACATTCTAGCCAGTCCTTCATCCCAGGTCTTCCACTGTCAACCTGGGGAGTTCTCTGACTCAAAAGAGTTTCACAGAAAGTGGTTTTAAGTGATAAACTAACACATTTACGCTCTAAGGAAAATAGATTTCAGCAGGAAAGTGGTATATTCTGTTTCAATACGATTTAGTGATCCATGGCAAAAAATAATGAAAGAGTATATTTAAAAATATTTTAAAGGCCATTTCTTCTTTGGATTCAAAGGCAAGAAAGAAATGTGTAAGTTCATGTAGCCTTGTAGGAAGAGGAGAAGGAAGGGCCATACACACAGGCCTGCCACCGATGCCGTCGCAGTGAGGGAGGAAAGAGCACACTCACCAGGGACAGTCACAGGTGGGGGACCAGGGGACTACAGTCCCAATATACACCTCTAAGGTGTGGGTAGCTGTATAATAAATAATAAAACAATAAATGCCACTTTTCTTTAAACTCCATTAAAATCACTAGTGAACATACAACTTATTTTCTCGCCACACTTTGGAAATGTTAAGACTTATTTGACTTTTAGTCAGTAGCGGTGTTAGATCCTTTCTAAACCATATCATAAACTACTCAAATCTACAAAGCCATTTTTATGTACCTGTGTGCACACACACATATATTTTTTGAAGTCTATTCGCTGAACTTCTAAACATTGTATTCTTTTTTTTTCTTTCTTTCTTTTTTTTTTTTATCCTCACCCGAGGACATTTTTCCATTTTTTGTTTAGGTAGAGTGGGAGGGAGAGAGAGGAACAGAGAGAGAGAGAGAGAGACATCGACGTGAAAGGGACACATCGAGTGGCTGCCATCCGCACGACCAACCAGGGCCGGGGACAAACTGCAACAGAGGTACGTGCCCTTAGCGGGAACCGATTCTGGGTCTCTCTGGACCACAGGCCGACTCTCTAACCGCTGAGCCAAACAGGCCAGGGCTAAATGTTATATTATTTTTGACAAGTATTTTTCAGAGACTCTTCTGTTTCCATCGGATTCTTTTTTTTTTTATTTATAATTTTTTATTGATTTATTTTTGTTACAGATGTTTCTGCTTTTTTTTCCCCATTGACACCCTCCTCCCTATCCCCCCAAACCCGTACCATGCTTTGTTGTCTGTGTCCATCAGTTATGCGTACATGCATATAGGTTCTGTGGTTTATCTCTTCCCTCCCTTCACCATCCCCTCTTCTGAGGGTTGTCAGTCTGTACCCTACTTCCACGTCTCTGGGTCTACCCTATTCCTCAGGCTATTATGTTCATTATATTCCACAAATAAGTGAGATCATGTGATATTTGTCTTTCTTGGTCTGGCTTGTTTCGCTTAGGATAATACTTTCCTTGTCCCTCCATGTCGTCTCAAAGGATAAGAGATCTTTCTTTCTTACAGCTGCATAGTACTCCATTGTGTACATGTACCACAGCTTTTATATTGGATTCTTTGAGAACAGTCCCGTTGTCCTTTGAGTGGGGAACGCAGCATGTTTTTCCGCTTGTGGCTCAGGAGGCTGCTGCTCTTGGTGCCACTGACAACATGATGCGACTGTGGAATCTAAATCCACCGGCTTACTTTCTTAAAAACGGTGGCCTAGAGTATTGCCCAATTTTAGTAGTTTTAGCCTTTCCTTGGTTGCAAAGATCAGGACTAGCTCGGAGAGTTTAGGTCAAAAGGTCAGAAGCTCAGGTTTGCAGCTGGAGCTCAGACACCATCAGGAGCCTCTGGTTGCTGCTGCACTCCTGAGACAGTAATAACTGGGAGGACACCCGCACTCGGGGGTTTGTTACTGTTGTTTGGGTCTTACATCACCTTGTGACGCTCTGCTTGGAAACATGCTGACTTTGAAAACCACTGTCTAGGTGTAAAAAATGGGTCAGTGTGTCAGCATCCATTGGTTTAAAAGTATAATTGGAATATTTCCCTCACTGTTTGACCTACATTATCCTGCTTTAAAACCTATTTACCACATTTTCTTTTCTTTTTTCTACAGTGTCCTGATTTTTACTATTTTACTTACTTTCCATTTGATTGATGTTTTGTTGCCTGGACAACTACAGCATCACTTGCAAAGGTACTTGCAAAAATTTTTATTGTGCTTTTCTTCTTTCAAATTTTGTAAATGTGCAATGATCCAACTCTTATAATTTATTTAAACTTTTCTAATATAGAAGCCAGCTTACTGAAGTTCATGGATAGCACAAGAACAGTGATCAATCAGTGTCTGGGTACATTTATAATATCAGGGTTCTTAATTAGTTAAACCTAAGGTGGGTGCAATCTTGCACCTGGTTTCGTTCAAACATCTCCCTCAAAAAACATTTATGTGTGACTTATCAAGATATATTGTGACAACTCAGTCAGAAATGCTCTAGGCATTTATTTAAATTAATCTACTACAGAGGATCTGTTTGTTTTAAAGAAAATTTAACAGATGGGAAGTGTTAGTATCTTCTTCGAACATCCAAGTAAATATAGATTTTCCATTATCTTCTTTTTAAAGCCAAGTACAACTTTTGCACCATGATAAATAAATGGTCATACAGTGCTTCAGTTGGGCACCTTTTTTTGATGTATTGGCTTCAAAGTCTCTTACTAAGTGAATGCATTTCCAAAATTATATTTTTGGAACATTTCTTGAGAAATAATGTTATATATAAGAAAACTCAGTAGATTATCTGAACCAGAAAAATATTTTTCAAAGTATGATGTAACTTATGCTTTAATAAAATCTAGGGTATATGACAAGATACTGAGAGGACAAAATCATAAGTGGAGTGAACAGCTAGAATGTTTTAGGGGATTAAAAATTATGCACTAGGGCCATCAGTGGAACTATAAGAAAATGACATTTGTGAGTCAAGTATTTTTGAGTTAAGTATTAATAACATTGAGTAGTTGTGTAGATACAGGATATGCAGGATAGAGGATTCAAGTATCTGAAGTGAATCGTTGTGCTGGTCATACAACTAGGTAAATTAATACAAGTATTGATTATTGTGCATATTAGGGATAAAATCACTTCTGGAAAGATTGCATTAGACATTGTAAGTGCACCTGTAAAGGGGCCATTAAAGACATACGGCAGAAGTTGGGAGATGTTTTGGTGTATCATCATCATCATGAGGCAAGATCATTTCACCAAAGAAGGGAATGGCGTTTCATGAAGCTCTTCCTAGCTCTTCTTTCAAGTTTACTTCTTGTTAGTCTTCCCCAGAGTTACTCAGCTTTCTGGACACTAATCCCTTGGCTCCATTAAAACTGCTGATTCTTGAACAAATCAAACTCATAGATACAGAGAACAGATTAGTGGTTGCCAGAGGTGGGGAGTTGGGGGTGGGGAAATTTATTTTTTTAAATATGCATTTAGTGTAGTTTATGGATAGGTAGAAGTTAGAAAGAATCTGGAATACAGTTGAAAGGTAAAAATAACAACTATTCTTTTCACATAGAAAATTCTGTGGTGTTGAGCCTGGAGATGGGATTAGGGAATGTTTGTGTTGGTTGGGAGAGTTATTTTTCTGATTTGCATTTGGCAGAGTTAATGATCTGATAATGTTTTGATAATTATGAAGACAAGGAAGAGGGCTGTGTAACAGGATGCAAATTGCCTATTCACACATTACTTACTATGCTCACAATGATGATTATTTACATTTTTCTACTTTTGCCTGTTTTTGATGTTTCAAATGAACAGTATCCTTCTCTGGAAAAATGAGAGTGTTAGGTAGTGTAAATGGTGACATAAAATGGAAAAGCAGAGCAGCTGCTAATCACAGGCTCCCACACTTTAAAATGAAGGCAGCCTCTTACATAGTTGACAAACATTTTTAGGAAATTTCCCCCTAAAAGTATTATTTGCTATTGAACCATTTATTTATAACATTAATATTTTCAAGAGAATTTGTGAAAGAAAGAGAAGTGTTCTGTATAAATGTAGAAAGTCAGGAGCCAAAAATGAAAAAGAGATCCAAGTCACTTCCTTTGGTTTTGACTTTGGTGACTGAAAGAAAGAGAACAGGGAAGGAATGGCAAGGATTTGACTGGATGAGAACATGGCAGGATTCAAAAAGCCAAGAGCTCACAGGTTATGGAAAAGACCAACAGGAGGCTAGAATTATAGCACTAGATTTCTAGTGCATCTTTTGGGGAAAGGCATGATCCAGCTAGTAGCAGTTATTGATCTATTCTATCATTAGTTTAGGGGTACACTCTACTTATTTTATCATGTTTACATGAATCCAGAAAATCACATACAGTGTTTATGTATATATGATCAGCATGGTGTTTATATAATATAAACTTCCTAGTTCAGATTTTTTTTATCACATATTGCTGGATGTTTTCTTTCTAAAAGTTTTATTCTTAACCGCTAAACAAAATGAATAGTCTGCCACGTCTAAAAGAAAGAAACTTCATGTTGGCT